GACTGGGTTTTCTAGCCCGTTCCCTCGAATGCTTACATACCACAGAACATGGGGAACTCTGCCTCCTAAGAGAATTACCAGAAATTAATCAGAAATGTAATTAACCTCTCTTGAAGGCAGTTTGAGAGAGTTGGGGTTCAGCCTGGAGAAGAAAAGGTTCCAGGAAGACCTTATTGTGGCCTTTCAATATGTAAAGGTGACATACAAGAAAGATGCAGAGACTCTTTTTACAAGGGCTTGTAGAGAAAGCACAAGGGACAATGGCTTTAAACTGACAGAGGGTAGATTTAGATTAGACGTTAGGAAGAAATTGTTTACTGAGAGGGTGGTGAGGCCCTGGCACAGGCTGCCCAGAGAAGCTGTGGCTGCCCCTTCCCTGGCAGTGTTCAAGGCCAAGTTGGACGGGGCAACCTGGTCTAGTGGAAGTTGTCCCTGCCTGTGGCAGGGGCGTTGGAACGAGATGATCTTTAAGGTCCCTTCCAACCCAAACTATTCTGTGCTCCTATGATCTGAGAGCAGCTGAGGAGAGAGATGGTGACTTTTCTGAACCTGGGAATCCAGGATGAGCCCGTAAGCCAAGGAGGCCACTTCCTGGCAGGGAAGAGGAGTGAAGAGCACATGCTGGTTCCTGCGCTTGGCAGGGCCCAGGGGCCTGGCACCATGCTCCCAGCACTTGGCACAGCAGAGCCCCAGCACCCACGCAGCACCCTCGCCCAGCCCCAGCAGGCATCCCACCCCACCCCATCCCATCCCAGCAGGCCAGCCCCACTCTGTGAAACAGGGTGCCTGGATGGTAGGCTACAGGGTGGAGTGAAGCAGGAAGCCACCACTGGAACCACACAGGGCAACAGCAAGTAGCTCAGCTAGCCCAGGCAGTGAGCACCTCTGCAGAGATAAGAGGTTTGGAAAACAGTCCCTGGGAAGAAGCGGGAGAAATGGGTTTGTTGAGTCTACAGGAAATGGCTGGAAGGAGGGCAGGACGTGATAGTGCAGCTGCAGTGCATGAGAGGTTGTTGTGAAGAGAGGCAGCAATTGCATTGCTAGAAGGACAAAGATAAGATGTAATCGGTTTAATTTTCAGGAAAGAAAAGAAGAAAGGAAAAAAGAAAATGGCTGGATGTTGCAAAAGCTGTCTCTGAGTAAGGCAGAGCTGCAATAGATTACTATCTGGGGAGGTTGTGAAACCCACTTCACCAGAACCTGTAAGAGGTTAATCAGACATCACCGTGCTCTCTCAGAAAGAATGGACTACCGTGCTATTTCTCAGACTTTGGAAAGTAGGCATCCCTCCATACACATCATGTGGATCATTAAATACATGGGTGATAAATAAAAAGTTCAGCATTTGGACTTACAAATCCTGAGTTTACTACTACAGATGCAAGCATTTAAGTTGAAAATAACATTTGGATTGCAAATTTTGATATTTCCTCTCAAAGAAATTGCCTTGCAGTTCTGGGGCAGGTAAATACCAGCAAGGTCTTTAACACTATTTCTGTCATATGAGTTATCTCATCACACCTCCTTCATGCTACTGACCCTTTTTCTCTGTTATCTCCTGCTCACACGTAGCAGCCTGCAGGGTTGTGTCCTGCAAAGAAGCACTGGTCGCTTTTGTGTTCTTTGGGGCACTGTTATTCCTACTGAAATGCTCACAGTCATTTCTCCACCATCTGAGATTATGGGGCCATAGGATACCTCAGGCACTAGGATAAACCAAATATTGCGTGGTTCTTTTGATACCCATCATGGTGCAAAATAACCCCAACATAACAGAGTATGCTGAGGCACGCAGACATTCCCAGTCCATTTGGACATCTTAGCTGCATTACCTAAAGGACACAGAATTATAGAGGGGAGTTTCTTGAGATGCTGCATGGGTGTCTAATGCTAACTGTCTAATCAGATACTGAGTTCAGTCTGGCCTTTCACCACCAAATGATCCCACTTCCAGTAAGTAACTGAAAAGCTTGGCTAGCCAGCCAGCTAATGCTAATGGCACACCTGGTTAGGGCTACATGCTGACTGGGCAGCTTTCTGGCAGTCCCTGGACAATATGAGGAGGTAATCCTCAGTCCATCCCGTGCAGATAATGTAAAGTACCTTAACACTGCCAAGTCATTTCCTCTGCTGGGAAATAAGCTGCAATGACAATGGAATGACTAAATAGGCTTGGTAGAGCTTGGTGGCTCTGGCTTATAGAGATTTGGGTGATCTGGTGAGACGCTTGTCTCATCAGTGTTTTGATATCCACCTATCTTGAGAGCTCAGGCACAGTGCTACATGTATTGGTTCACGGCTTTCACCCTCATAAATGCTGTTCTTCATGCAGTGTTTGGGGGAATAATCATATCTAATGAGTTTTTACCCCCTCTATTCCAGCTAATAGTGTTGCCCCAGCTGAAAGTATGGAGACATATCATCTAAAAATTCATACGAAAATGAACACACTTTGACCTTTACATTCACCAACAGAGGATCCAGATGGGAGAGAAACCCCTTAGGTGCTGTGAAGTGGAAGGGTTTTGATAGGAATTCTGACCTGACAACATCAGCTGGTTCACACTGGAGGGAAGCCTGATTTGGGTGCTCTGTGTGGGAAGAGCTGGAGCCAGGATTCATCCCTTACTCAGCATCAGTGAACACACTGCAGCAAGAAATCAACACCTGAGTGGAGTGCTGTGAGTCTTGCAAGACAGGCATTCACTCCTGCACCACAGATGGGATAAAAGTGAAGATATCTAAGCCACTGTTGAGAGTCTTGGAGGGAATATATGGCACAACCCCAGACACTACAGAGAACAATCTGACAGTGCTCCAGTGCAGTGGAGTAACAGCGGCTGGGTGTGAGTATGCTGTTAAGAAGATAGGCCTTGGAAGGTCATGTCGGTTCTGTGAGAATCACTAATGAGGGAGGAGGAGGCCCAGGGAAGGGGGAACCCTGAAGTGGTGATAGAGAAAGAGATTAAAAAAAGGAGCAGATTGAGTGAAGTCAGCAGGACAGCAAGTGGCATCTTTGGGGTGTTAAGAAAGCTATCTGGGTGCTGGGTAAGCAAAGAAAGCACCTGCCCAAAACAGGAAAGAAGGTAACTTTATGCTTGCTCTGTTCTGAAAAAGCATGGTACAACATATTCTGGAGTTATTATGAATCATTATTTGCACTTCATTAGTCACTGTTAGCTGTACCCTCTAAGTACTTCAGATCCTAAATGCTATGTAAGACCTTACAAGGATTTATTTCCCTCAACTTCTGTCCTTTGACGGAAGTCGAATATCTAGATCTCATGTCCACCAACTTACAGCTCTGACAAGCTAAACTTTAAGCAATTCGTTGTCTTTGGTCTTTGATTTTTTATTCTCTTAAATGCTTTGGAATTCACCAGCAGATGTGAAAATATCGGAAGAGACAGAAGAGACTCTGACTGTGACAAATGTATGGCAAACACAGGATAAGTGCATGGTCTCTACCTCCGCCAGTTTACAATCTTAGCCTCTAAGGTAATGTAGCAAGTGTTTTTTCTAAGGTAAAAACCTCACTCTTTTTATAGGGTCACTCTGCTTTTATGTTTTACTTTCAGTATTATTCTTGTGCCATTCTTAATTAAATGCAAAGAAAACTAAAAATACCACACAGTGTGAATCACAAAAAAAGGCTCTTTTGTGTGTTAAGGACAAAAGCTTACTTCATAAAAAATGTGCTCATAGAAAACAATCCTTCTTCAGTCTGCCCTTCCAACAACAGCATCATAGCTCCAGACAAACAACTCTTCCTCCCCCCAATGTGGACTGTTGTATTTTTCTCTGCAAGCTCACATCTGTATTTACAACACATCATATGGGAAAGGTTTAGTTTTCCTTGACTGAGGTGAGTTAGGGGCATGGGGAAACCCTCTTCTGGCATAAAATGGGTTTTATACCACCTCACCATCGAGGAGGTGATTTCAGTAACCTCATTCTCTGTTACTAAATTTGCAGGCCATTATAGGATTCATGTTAAGTTTAGGGCCTTCAGGAAAGCCACCATGGGTGGCCTAGCTGGGTTTTGGTCTTGTGTTGCCATAGGCCAAAAAGAACATGCATTTTCAAGGCCTAGCAAGGTCACTGATATTAAGAATCAGAAACTTGGTGAGAGTTGGGTTACAGTAAGGGTGCAGTCACACAGAAAATGAATGTGACCAGGGCAGTGCTCTCCAGGTAGACCCTGACAAGGGATGTTATCCAGGGCCAACACCATGCAGGTGTTTTGGAGAACCATAGCATTAACCTCACTGCAATTTTTGTAGTAGGGTGAGGGTATGGTTAGGACTGCGTGATGAGGGTGGCAGGATGGGTGGGAGGTAAAAGGGCGAACCTTGGCCCTGCTTCTGCAGTGTAGGGGAGGAAGAGGGATCAGGCAAAACCCAGAGAAAAGAGGTTTCTCCTGTTGCTGTCAGGAATGGGAGAAATAATTGTTGCACTACAGGAGAGGGTATCCCAGGCAGTAGGATTTGCTTGCTGTGCTCAATAACCCCTCTGTCTGGGCAAAGACTGAGGACTGTTTCTTTGGGCTACAGAAACCACCACAGATCCAGAGTAAGCAACCAGTCTGCAGCCCCATGCACCTCCCTGCTGATGTGAGCCAGTTTGACTTGTGTGCCTTGAGCTGAATGAGGGGCTCTTGTCTCCTGTGGCTAAAATCACAGAGGTTTTGCTTTGAAAAAGCTGAGACTATAATAAACCAGTACATCTTTCTTGAACACTCTCACAGAAAGCTTTAATAGGCACCCAGTGCAACTGCTTGTCCGAGCCCAACAAAAAATATCTGAGGGAGAAAAAGGTAAGTGTGTTTTTAAACCTGTTGGTGTGGTGCTGTACAGACTTCATCAGTGTACAAGATCACGTGAAACAGTCTAGTATTTGTGTTAATGTCGTTTCACCTGAACACAGCCGGGAGACAGTCAGGAACAGCTTCCCAACAGGGGGCACTACGTTATTACATATAGAGGCTTGGAGATCTCCACCTCAAGGACTCCTCACATGTGAAGACACAGAATGTGCAGCAAGGCACATTTCAGCTTTGTTTGACCTCCCCTACAAAAAAAAAAAAAAAAAAAAAAAAAGGCTGATGAAAAATTACTTCGTTTATCTCATTAGAAGTTACACTATTATATGTAATTATATCCACCAAAATAAGTCAAAACAAAACCCACAAACCCTATGTCAAGGTTGCAGGGAGAATTCAGAGTTCCTGAACTTTTAAGTGCTTGATTTCACAGGCATTCAAGAGTCTGTTAATACAAGCCAGGGACTTTTGTGTGCAATTTGTTAATTAACAGGGAATCATCTTTATTGGTGCATGGGACAGATTAATTTGTCTGTGGGCTGGATTTTGTGTCTAGCCAACAAGAGGAAGGAAAGTGAAGGGCTGGTCTGAGTCATTACTACTGACCTATACCACAAGCAACAACACTTGGACATTATCGTAAGAGGATCTCAGCTACGAAGAAGTAGCTTCCCAGCACAGTGGTTTCCGAGTGAGCACGGATGGGCAGGAATGGGGTTGTGGCAGAGGCAGCGCTACTGTTTGAAGCACAGGGGAAGGCTTTAGAGTGTCATCCTCCCACCTGCACTGCACACACCAAGGTGTTGCAGCTGCCTGCAAGGGTGAAAAGCTGCACATCGGCATGTGCAGTGCTTTCTGTATCTAGCTCCTACGCAGCAAGATCCTCCCTTTCAGGTTAAACCAGAAGATTATTTGGCAAGCCCCTTGGAGGCAGCATGCTTCTGCTTTCATTTTTGTTCTCCATGTTCAGGTCCTAACTATAGTTTAGTGTTTGATAAGCTCTGTATTACAATAAGATTGCTTGCAGTGGTGTGACTTTGTATTCCACCTGTCCCTTACAGTGATTTATTTCTGTAGCTCACAGTTGCACAGAAAGCCTGAAGAAACAACCACAGGATAGCTGTCCTACCTGAATCTGAAGAGAGCAGAAAGGAGGAATGAAATTTCCTAGTTGTTCTGATAGCAAATTGATTTATTTGTGGTCAGCAAGGCTGACCACAGAGGGCTTTGAATGTCACATACCCCCCAACTTATGTTATTGCCATGAAAGCCATATATGAGAATAGTACAAAGGCTCTGCTTAAGTTCTTGCCTTGGCAAAAAGAGTGGAAGTATCTTAAGAGTCCCAGTAGCCTTTTCCTAGGCTTCTCAAAGGGCACTGGGGTAAGAGAAAATGGAAAAATAGCCACTGTCACAGATCTTCTCTGTACAGGCTTCTTCTTACTTCTAAGGAAGGAGGAGAAACATCAGTGTGTGAAGTCCAGGTAAAGGGCAAGGCTGGTAAGAGACTCCATTCCAGCATTTACTGCATGTGTATGTGAGAGACACGTGTATGAAGTGGGCTGGGAAACAATTTACTGCACCAAGACATAGCATTAGGACTTTGATTCAGGTCTGCACAACGAATTTGCTGTGCCTAATTCAAGCAGCTAACTTCTGCACAGTTGCCCTCTCTGTCCCTCTGCTGCCACCATGCAGGAAGGACAGTTGGACATCACACTGACAAATTCCCTTTTGCCTGTTTGCTGATGCTGATCTCTACTGGTTTCTTCCATCCCAAGAGGCCAAGTTCACAGGCCATCCATCCTGCCAGTCTGCAGGGAGAATCTGATTCTTAGACATAGATCAAGAGTACTGCAGGAGTAAAAAGAGGAAATTACACCTTTGAAGTGTCCAGGCTATGAATTACAGCCATATAGCCAGAGCCGTGGAAAAAAAAGCACATAAGAGCAAAGCTGTTAGCAAATTAGTCTCCTATTCAGGGGAGGCAATAACCAAGATGGGGCTTTTAAGAACTGGATCACAGTCAGGCAGCTGCAGCCTCACTGTCTGGACCAGACTTTGCAGTATCCTCAGGAAGCTGCTCCTCCCCTGCACTGCAGCCTGCAATGTTCTCAGCTGTTCTTGCATATCTTTGAAGGCCAAGCATATTGGAGATCAACACAGGAACTGGGGAAAAAATAGTTTTTTCCTCTTGCAGAATCACATACACAGAAATTGAGATCCCTGCAGGAAGCCAAGAGCTGCCTCCTAAAGCCTCCCTGGGAGATACAACAGAGGATTTCAGACTGTGAGAGGCACCTGCCAGGAACAAGCAATAACCAGAATATCCTTTGCATAGAGCATCTCAGTGAGGAGGAAGTGTAAGCCAAAAGATTTCCTTAAAACTGTAACTGAGCTAGAAATTTCCTGTGTCAATTGGTGTAAAAGAACAGCTGTTTGGAAATGTTTGCATAACTGACTTTCATTAAGACTTTTCAGAAGTTTTTTGTGGTATTTCTGGATAGTAAGACCAATGTTATGTGTTCTGGATTAACAGGAATTAACACTTTTGATGACAGAGTAGAGGCAAAGCCCATTAAAAGCTTTCCTATCTTTCTTCTTGTCTGGCTGCTCATTCCCCAGTACAAATTGTTTTTTCTCCATAATGTGTTTTAGTCCTTTTGGAGGCACCTTAATAATATATAGCACCATTTTTTTCATCTGTTGGGGTTTTTTTAGGATCCTTGTTCACAGATACTGCCTTTGTGTTTCTTAGTTCCCTTTTGTAGATCCTCTTCAGGTAGCTCATGGACCTCCTGATGTGTGTGGACAACAGACCAGAAATTACTTCAATAGTCTTACTCAGTAAAAGACGTACACTAACATTCAGTGTAAAGTACCAAGGAATGCTCTCATGGCTGTTCTTGGTCATTAACCATGTTTTCCCTGCACTACTTTAAGCTCTATGTTTTGGAAAAAAAGTGTTTCTCAAGCTCATGTTATTTAGCTGCAGGGACACTCCCATATAGATGTCCACATATTAATCAGGTTGGAATAGGGCTTGAAAAGCCATATATATACAACAGGAAGGAATGTGATGTCCTATTGCATTAAGTATATCAAATGTTAACTTTTGCAATTTTGGCTGAGGAAAATCTTTCTAGAAACGTAAAAACTTAGACGGCAGTATGTATCTTTAAAGGTTGGGCAGTGGCTTCAGAGAATATACTCCATTTAGTTATAGGTCCTTTTTTCCCCCAAAGAATAAAAAGGAGCTATATTTAATTTCACAAAAATGAGCTATATATTTAATTTATTCAAAGAAGCTTCCTGCTTTTATAAGAAGTCCATTATTTTATTAATCTTGGGGAAAAATAAAAGGATGTAATATTGAACGGGACTTTAGCTTTAAGCTATTTCCTTCTGTCTTTTCAAATAGTATGTAAGGCAATAAATATGAAGTTTTAGGTTGTGTTTTGCTATAGCTGATCATATGAAATCCTGTGCAGAAGCTATGTTGTGTGGATTTTTTTCTTCTTTCTTTGGTTTGTACCTAATGATGTGGGCCATTCACATTAGTTTGTCCCGCCTCCTGCTCAGCTGACAATATTTGTAACATGTGAGGCTATTTTGCCTCCTTTTGCTATTGGAGATTTGCCATTCCTAGCTCCAATTCAACCAAAATCAGGGAAGGTCAAGGAAACCAGCATCTGCACTGTGAAGCCCACACCTTTATGAAGCCCTGGCATGAGCAGTCATTTCCCTTGACAACAGTTCAGATTTCAGTGAAACAGCTGTGGTTGTAACTGGGAAAACACAAAAGCCTCCACCAAGCACTCATCTTCAAAGAAAGAACTAGTTTCTTGCCTTTTAAAACAGGCAGTAGCTTATAATCAAGTGACCTGTTGGGCAGCATCAGGCTAAATGACTGTATGCAAACAAAATAACACTTTTGCATCTTATGTGGCTGACAGGCAGGGAATCTCCAGACAAGCCCTTACCCTCCTGCCTCTGACAGCAGCCTTTGTCTCTGGCTGTCAGTCTGAAGTCTCGTCCATTTGTTGTTTATATTTTCCTGGCAGCACCTGTAAGGAAGTGGTGTTTAGCAAGCAATCCATTTAGGACAATGGCCCTATTTGTGCATCAGGCAAGAACACTGCTATTATTTTGGGAGAAATTTGTACAACACACTAAATGGGGCATTTGTTTTTAATCCATCCTACCAATGTAATTCTTCATAGTAACTGGCACATAGTTCATCGCGAGGTAAAACTATCACTCCATGGCAAATAGGTATCCATTTGGACAGAGTCCCTGCTGCTTTTTGTATGGAAAAAAAAAAAAAAAGGATGAGGTTGAATAAGGATTATAAAGACATATAATTTAAGTGAATTATTTTTCTCCTGGTTTTATTCTGTAAGAGCAAACAGAATGTGTCTGGGTCACTGCAGAGTAATTGGAATTCCCAGGAGAGAAAGCCCATTTCAGTCTGTAACTGCTCTTCTCAGCATGTATGTGCTCTTTGACAATACAGGTTTTTGTCTTGGAGCTACTGTTATTAACTCAGATTATGTTGTGTAAATGTGGGTTTATAACTAGTTTCACATAGGAAAGCATCTCTAGCCATATTACCTGAAGGACTTTCCCAGTTCTGCATTTTCCTAATCCTTTCTGTCATAGCCACCTATCCCTGAAATGAAAGTTCCCAGAAAACAGTACTTGCCTATGTGAAGTCCATGGCCTCTAGAATGCCCTGGGATAAATGCCAGACAGCAACAGGAGTTCACAGCTGCATCCACAACTGTCACTGAAGCAGATTCCCAGACTAAGACAGATACAAGCTCACTTCCACAAATGAAGAACTACTGTAAGTAAACAAAGAAGCAAAAGCTAAAAATACTGCTCTTAGCTGCTGTCAAGGGGGAAATCAATGCATGCACCTTATGGTAAGGATACACCTTAGCCTGAACCGGCAGGCTCAAACTCATACCTCTGAGAAATGGTTTACACACTGACACACCTTAATATTCCACTGTATCCTCTGCCCTAACAGACTGAACCCAAAGGGACAGTTAGAGGAACATACAACCACTTTCAATAAGGCTGTATTCAAGATAAAACCAAAAAACATGGGTGAACTGTGCAAATCTGCCATTTTGTCCCCTCCTTTATTCCAGCATCTGCTGTCATTCAACAGGTGCTAGCACTTACAAATCCAACAGGAGATGGGACCTGTGGCACCAAAGCTGAGCTGAGGTCTGAGAGAACCTGCACTTCTCCCAGTGTGCTGTAGAAGAGCCTGTGGAAATGCAGCGCTGCATATTGGGACTCTGCTAACTGCTGAGAGCAAGCTATAAATAAGGGGCAGGAAAGGAGATGACTGAATTTCAGAAGGACTGTTACTGCTGGGTGTTCACAGCAAGCCTTGGAGGAAGTGAAGGAAACAGCCAGGACCTGACTCACTGGGGATGGGTGTTTCACTTGCTGCTTGTATAAACTTAACTTTGGTTCAGCTTCCAAACTCAGCATTGTGTTTCTTGCCATTCTTATGATCTTGTTTCTTGCCATATATGCAGATTTACATCTGTTTGGAGTAAGGTATAGCTACTAAACATGCCCAGGGAAGTTATTTGGTTTTCCAAGGAGTGAAGGCTCAAGCAAATATTTTAGCTAATTTTAGGAGGAACTTCAGATTCCCCTCCCCTTACACTCCCCCCCCCCCCCCCAATACTTCTGATATGTCAGCATCTTATCTAAGTGTTACTAAAACCTGCCAGATTTTGTCTTGTTGTCTGCCTGGCTTTTTCCATTTACAACCACATTCTTTGCATTCAGTGTAAGTTAAACCCAGAATAATGTGTGCTACGGAGTGGTGAGGATGGGAAAAGGCAGGACTTTAGCTGGACAGGATGCTTACCAGGATGATGTCTGAGTGGGAGGTTAGTGTCTGAACTGCCTCTCAGCCCACTGAGGTTGCAGTGTGCTCAAGTCAGTACAGGGGCACTGCAGGAAGAAGGAGAACATCAGGGTACAGCACCCTGCTCCTGGTACTGCAGGTCTCACTGGAATATGTTTCCTTGGACACAAAGGGACATGCTAGGTACTCGGTGCAACTCAGCATTTGGTGGGCTGAGAGAGCAGACAATGCAGCCCAATCCATGTGAGACACCTCTGCAGTAATTTTGCACGGGTCCACACAGAAGTTAGGAGTCCAGCTCCCACCCAGTTTTAGGGAAAAAGATCTTGGCCCACAGAAGGATTTAGCTATTGTGATATTGAGAGCTGCACATTATGACTTCAGGCACTTCTTCACCCTATGTAATATAAAAGAAAAGTTAGGCATTCAAACTTCCTATGCAACAGGCAGGGAAAGCAAGGTACCTCAGGATATGATTCATAAAAGCAAATAGAAAATTGCCTCTGCAGCTTCTGGAGGTGCCAAAGGGAGGGTAAAGGTTAAGCCCTTCTTAGACAATGAGTTGTCCTTTTCTGAATGACAGAGGTGCCATTTTCCAGTCAGGATGCACAACTCCAGCCTGCTGCTAGGAACTTAGAAAACGCAATAGGAAGAGGCATCACCTATTTATGTAATGTCCCAGAGGTTTTGAGCACCAACTCAAAAGAGACATGATCCAGACCTGATTTCTCCAGTCTCTTGACTTACGGGAATTTGAAGCATCCCTTTCCCCTCTGCTGACAGTAAACACAATGATGTGGAACAGGAATCTCAACTGCATTAGCTGATCTGCTATGATGAAATAATCCATGCACATAAATGAATGAAAGCGTTAATTGAATCAGAAAGCAGCAGCAAGCACGAGTACAACTGTGCTAGTGGCTGGGTAGAGCTTTCACTGTGCTGCTTCTTGGGGAAGTTTTCCTGCCTGGGAGACCCCACAGAGATTATGCAGGGAAGGACGGGTTGAGGGCTGCATGGGTGTGGGCTTCAGGGCTTCTCCAGTGGTTGGTTCCAGCTCCTCTCCTCTTCTGCTGAACTCTTCAGAGCATGTCCTGGAGGATACACACCTGCAAGCCTCATTATATGATTAGGAGAAAAAGGCTCAGCAGAGGTGATACCAGATATCAATCTGAGGAGAAAGAGAGTGTAATACAGATAATGCCTTCCTCTGTCACCTGTCTGCATAATTCTTTGCCCACCTTGCAACCTTTGCAAAGATATATACTGTGGTAAAGTGCATTCTCACATAAATGCTGTATTCCTTTAAGCAAACCCAGGAATCTATACTGCAAAAAACAATGCAGAAAATGAAGCAACCTACTCTGTTTATTTTGCTATGGAATGAAAACTCCAAAACTTCTGAGCTTGCCCCCTTTTTTAATGAGCATAATAATCAACTGTGTCAAGGTTTCCCTTTTGCTGCTACTCCCAAACACATGTTGTCTTTTATCTACTTGTCCTCCCCTTTCATTTTTTTTCCCTTTACTTATGCCTTTCTCTGCCATGCTCTGTTCCACAATCACACGTGAGGGAAGTCTCCCTATGGACCCTGTGCCCCTATTGCTACAGTCAAACTGGCAGGTAGGGACAGAATTTCCCTTATAGGAAACTGATGTGCTGGGCCCTTTTCAGTCCACATCTAAGCACAGCAACCAGAGAAAGCTTTGATGCAGGCAGCGTTCCTCAGGATATTGACCTGTGTACCTAGGAGAAATAAGGATGCCTGAGAATGGTAGCTGTGTTTTCAGGTTTTTAATATAGAGTTTTTCTACCCACATCCCATGCAGATCCTTCCGAATCCAGGTGTTAAATCCGTTTACATTTATTTGACACATCTCAGGTGTGATCTTGGGATCTCCAAGCCCTGTCACGTGTGGCAAAGGGACAACTCTCCCAATGCCAGACTCAGGTAAAGAGAAAGAAAAACAAACAAACAAACAAAACCATCCAAACCCTTCCCCTTCCTCTCTTCCCCCCCCCCAAAAAAACCCTCAAAACTGAACCCCCACCACCATAAAAAAAAAACAAACCAAACCCCCCCCCCAAAACAAAAAAAAAAAACCCACACCAAACCCAAAACCAACAGAAACAAAAATAAACAAGAAAGAAAAATCCCTCTTTTTCTGGAGCCAGGCCGGGGACCTGGGATCAGTAGGCCAGGTGTACCCGCTCTGCTTTCACCCTGGAGGCAAAGCAACCAGGGAGTAAGTGCCCTATTCCCCATGCCCAGGGGAGGCACAGTTATTGTCCCCGTCGCAATTAAACATAAATACATAAATTAATTAGTTAATTTTGAAAATGGAAAGTTACCTAAACACCTTGCGGTGAGACCTGCAGAGGGCAAGAAGGGCTGCGCCCAACCGTGGACAGAGCCCGCGTTCAAGGGGTCGGAGTCACCGCCGCGTCCCGCTCTGGCCCTTCGGCGGCGGCGGCGGCTTCGCCCTGCCCCGCGCCGTCGGAGCGCGGCTCGCTGCCGGCCGGGCTCGCCCCGCACGCCAATCAGGGCAGCCCGCCTGCCTTCCTGTAGGTGTGCCCGGCTCACCTGGGAGCCTCGGCACTCATGACATACCTGCGGCCCCGCGGGCGGCGGGGAGACTGCGGCCGGCTGCTGAGGGCGAAGGGGGGCGGCGGAGGCAGTAGAGCCAGGGCGAGCAGCGCTCGCCCCGGCACGGCGATGTGAGCCCGGCGCAGGTAAGCGCGGCTCGGCGGGGGCGGCGCGGCGCGGCCCGGCGGGAGCGGCGCTGCCGTGTTCCCGGGAGAGGCGGGGTGAGGCGCGGGCCTGGCGCCGGATCCCCGCGGAGCCCGGGCCGGAGGAGCGGCTGCTCCCCCCCAGCGGGGTGGCGGGCAGGCTCGGGGAGCGGATGGGAGGGCTGCCCACCATTTTAGGACCCGAGGGGGACTGGGCGGAGGGATCTCCGGGGACGTGAGCTCTCGCCCCTCCCGCGGCGGGCCTGCTGCGCTCCTCTGCGGGGCCGCGGCGCACAGGTGTGGGTGCACGGGGAGGGCCGCCGTCGGGTCCCGGGGAGCCGCTCCCGCCGGCGGGGCGCTGCGTGAGCTCCGGTGGGACAGTGCCTCCGGAGGTGGGGGGGGCGGGGGCGTCTCTCGCCGGCCCCGGGCAGGCGCCGGGAGGGCCACAGCTTTCGAGGAGGCCTGTGCAGGACGGCAGCGCCCGTTCCCCGCCCCGCTCCTCCTGTTGCCGGCAGCAGGTAGGGCCCGGCGCACAGGCCCGGTCCCAGGCGCAGCTGCCAGCAGCCTGGCAGAAATGGTGCCTCCCACGCCGGAGCGAGGTCCCACGGTGCTTGCTGGGGGTTCAGCTCCGGGAGTCCCGGGGCAGAGCTTGAACTCTGGACACCGTGTTGTTTTCTTCCTTGCTCTGCTGGCGGGCGCCTCGTGACTTTTATGGCCTGTCACGGAGGGAAGGCAGGGGAACGAAAAGGAGAGGTACTCGCTTCCCGTCTCCATCCTGCAGCCTCTTCGGAGCCTTGCCACTGCAGCAGCTCGGGTGGCAATCTCAGGACTCCAAACAACATGCAGAGGGGACTTCTGAGCTCTCACGGTTCTGGCCTGACCCGTCTACCCCCAGCACCTGTGTCATCCTAGCACTTGGTGCTTCCTCTGTTCCCAGAGGTTGGATAAGACCTGGATCAGACCTGGTAGGGAATACAGGGCCAGGGAAGATCTGAGCTCAACTAAAGTGTGTTGACTTGTTGCAGACTTGGCCGAGTCTG